AAAAAAAGAAGAAAATAAGCTCAATATTAGTGGGAATCTTTTAGAAGTTTGAGTTTATTTTAATAGTAAATGATTATAAAAAAGGATTCTAATTTATTTTAAAGTTTTATGTAACATAAATTTAGATTATAGTAAAACCAATTAAGTATCTGATGTAGTTTTGATTAATTAGTTGGTGTGACACTCCAATTATATATGAATAATTTTAATAAAATGAATAAAAAAAAATAAGTAATAAAATATATTAATATTATTTAATAACATATTTTTTTTTAATAATTATATAATTAATAATAATCCTTTATATTTTAAAATTATTGAATAACTTTAAACTATTGTACTATAATTATTTTTATCTAATTACAGTCAACTTTCTTTAAATGCATTCCCTTAGATCATAATGAAAAATTTAAAAAATATGCATTTAAAGAGGGTATATATTTAAAGAAAAAATATATAGTATATGCATTTAGAAAGGATTTAAAGAAAGTTAATTGTATTTTTATAATGATTAGTAAGAATTCATTTACATTTTTATTAATCTTGTAATTAAAATTTATTTATAAATGATAAATTATTCTTAACAATTTAAGAATTTTTTTTAAAAGCTTATTATAATTTAAGTTAATTATCTAAGAAATTTCACGTGCTTATTAAGTATCACTCGTGTAACAATCATGGTAATAAAAATGTCAAAAAATTCAAGCGTCTCGGTTTTTTTTCTTCATCTTTGAATGAAAAATTCTCTAATTACAATTTTGTATATGAAGAATTATGACAATTATACATAAAATAGTAAAAAGTATTTATCCGACATGTCTTCGACAAAAACCGCAAATAATATTTTCTCAAATTTCGGTAAATTTAATAAGCAATAAATTTCGTTTATTATCAACATCACAAATTTCCAATTTCAAGAAATCTTCAAATCATAAACCACGCGATGAAGAAATTAAATCACAATACGTTAGTTATGTTGATTTAGAAGGTCAAATAAAAGGAACATTTCCATTAAAAAAAATTTTATCTGAAATTGATAGGACCAAATATTGGTTGGTTCAAGTTTCACCAGTTCAAGAAACATCATCTCCATCGAAAAGTTCTTCTCAGCAACTCTCCAAAGGACAACAACAAAAGGAATTACCAATATGTAGATTAATTTCTAAACAAGAATTATATGAAAAACAAAAGAAGCAGAAAAAATCTATAATTTTAAAAAAGGAATTACTATTAACATGGAAAGTATCACCAAATGATCTTACACATAAATTGTCTAGAGCAAAGGAATGGTTAGAAAAAGGCTATCAACTTCAAGTTGTTATCAGTAACAGAGGCGTTAAAAAGAATCAATCTAGTCTAGATAAAGGTCTTTTGGATAGAATCGTTAAAGAATTAACTGAATTTACCAAAGATATTAAAGAACCTATATGGACTAATGGTAGTGTAATGGTAGAAATGCAAGGTAAAATTAATCTTCACAAAGATTCTCCTGCCGATGCTGAATCAAATGAAATTTGAAAAAATTTTTTATTATCTGACAAAGTTAGATAAATTTATTTAAAAGTCAATAAATAAAATTATTATATAAGAAAGAAATATCAATACTACATTTTAATGGCAAGTTAATCTATCTGGTAAATCATAGTTTAGTGATAATGTGGGTTTCCCAAAAAAAAGGTAACCAATACCAGCACCAATTGCTACACTAAACATTAAAAATCCGTTATAAGTCATAAAAATTAACATTGTAAAAAACGATATAAATACTTGAACGGTATATATTAATGAACGAATCATTTGTTGCTTAAATGTTATTCTAAATGAAGAAATATAATATTTAATTATTTCAATTTTGAAAATTTAAAAAAAAATAATGTCATAATGGTTACCTGAAAACTCTGTTTCGTTTCTGCACTACTGTTTGTATTTCTGAGGTCACCGTAGCATTTTCTTCAAAGCCATCATCTTGCAATTCTGCAGCAGATGAATTATAGATTGATGCATCGTACTTTCTTGAAAGAAATCCTATAAGTTCGTAAAGAATTCCGAGGGAAATTACAATTAAACAAGATAAAATAAGAAAACCAATATTATCTACACGCCACCAAGAAAAAACGATACAAAGGTTTTTTGTATCCCAATTAAAAAGCATCTAAAAAATAAAAATTATAGTGAATTTTTTTTTTTTTATTGCTCTCGTCTTTTTTTAAGTAAATTTTTATATCTTAAAGAATAAATTACATTCATGGAACACATTTGGCCACCATGGCCACCATGGCCACCGTCACCACCATCACCACCACCTCCACCTCCTCCTCCACCACCACCATGGTCACCATGGTCTTGTAAAATAAACTGTTGATGATATTTCATGAGGATTAGATTTTTCAAAGAAAAAAAACGAAAAATGAACTTTTTCTTATAATAAAATTTGAGGAAAAGGAGAAAAAGGGAAAAATTTGAAAATTGATTTTTGACTATCGCTTATCCGTATCTTATATGAATGAATTCAATGGCAAAAAAAAATTCCGACAATGGGCTAAGGTTCCCGAGATCAATTATTTGATGTTTTACAAATTTCAATTGTGCAACATTATTAAGCCTTGATTATGTCGCTCAAGATTTTTTAACATTTAGACGCGTTCTTTTATCCAAGCAATATATATTATCGATTTCAAGAAAGTTCACACATTTTACAAGGGCCAAAATTCCAAACCCAATAATTAGCCCAAATGTGAATGGTTGAATCTCATTCGGAATTGGATAGAATATTACTCCAAAGGAAATTAAACAACGGTTAGATTAAAATTATTGTAATTAACAAATCCAAATGTATATGTGAGTACTTCCTCGACACTTGTATGTTTTATTAAGTTATAATTTACTTATTTTTTTTTTTTGATATAAGTATGTAAATTTCCTTTTAAGCTAGATTATAATAGGTTGGAAGTTGATTAATTCCTCTTTAGAAGAATGTTCTTATGTTACGTTGACAAATCCGCGAATAATAATAATACAGATTTTAAGCAATCCATGTGTTTCATTCCTTTCAAATTTACAGGTATTCAATTCCTTAATATTTTGTTTCAAAATATCTATCATGGTGTTATTGATCACGACTTTCGACAGAATTTAAAGATTCTTTTTTTAATGTGATTATTTGAAATACTTCATACTCTTCTAATTCAAGATATTGATTTCTAGTTACAAAAGCACCACAATCAGGATAAGAATAAGGACCATAGCTATAAATTAAATTATTATTTTGTATTGATAAATCCCAACCACCTCCAAAAGATGGACCGTATTCAGCATTATATCCAATAGCGTACTCTGAAATATTGCCACTACTTCCTACCCTAGCTAATTTTGGGATCGTTGGAATGGAATCATCATTTGAAGATATCGGAAATGATGGAAAAGAAAATAAAAAACTATCAAAGGTGGGATACCAAACACTTTCAGTCGTTGAATTTAATTGAGGTTTCCAATCTAAAGGATTATAACCACCGATTAGTTGACCTTGTGAACGAATTTTTGCAACAGTTATAGTCGAACCTTTATTATCACACAATCGATGAAATGTTCCAGCTTCAAAACCATCTTTGCTTGCCCTATATAATAATTTACATGAATAAGGGACTCTTTTCTTATCATAAAAATCCATTTGTTGTTTTTCAATCCAACTTGAAATGATTGTAACATGTTTTTTTTCGATCAAGACTGAATCTAATTCATCAATTAGCTGTGAAATTCTTGGAGGCAATACATTAATATTTAATTCATATGCTGGGTCTAGATGATAACATAAAATTTCTTGATACAAGTCTTTCGGTATGATTTTTTTAAATGGCATGACCTTTCTTCTGAATTCAGTTGAATTAATTTGAAACCATCTAATTAAAGGAATGAAATCTTGCATTAATTCTCTTAAACCTGAAATATTTTCTACGCTCCAATTGGATAATTGTTCTTCCTTATCATTGATTTGTGATGTACCCCATTTAATTACATTATTCCAAATATCAATCTCTTTCATATTTAAATCGTCACGTTCAAGTATACATAATAATGTTGACTTGTCAATTGATAAAATTTCTTTTGATCCAAATAATATATTTGGATCTCCACATATCGCTTCAAAACAACAATCTTTTAGCATCGCACATACATCGTTTCCAAAAGTTATTTGAAGTACTTTAATTGGATCTTTTCTTAATAAATCACATTGATTTTCCAATAAATATTGTTCAACATGAATAATTAAACTTTGTAAATTTAATTCATCCGCTGCAACTAATATTTGTAATATATCCGTGATTTCATGTTTCGATAAATCAATTATGGCCGTATAGAAATATTTAAGTAAAAATTCAAAAGCTTTAGGAGAAATATTCGGTTTATTAAAATTAATAATTCCACCTTCTCCTTTACGAGCCCAATTATTTGAAAGTGCACTTTGAAAATAAGTACACCTTGCCTTCAATATCAAAGAATGAACTTTAAACTCTCGTGAATTATTTTCCTCTCCAACTTTAATAATAACATCATAACTTTCTTCTTGATCCAATAACTTTCCAATATCATTTGATAATTCATTTAAAAATTTACTTGTCATGATGAAGGTTTTTTTTTGTTTAAAGATTTGTGACAATAATTATTATTATTATATGTTAATTTTACACAACATTTTTTTTAATCAAACAGTAACAGTAAAAATTCAATTCATTGGGTACTTGGATTAGGATAATGCAAACTCCTAATGCGGTCACTTTTCACGTGACCGTTAAAGTTGATCATCAGCGACCCATTCCAACATATTTGATATTTCCATCGTGTATAATTTAGGATATAATCTGTTTTTTTTTTCTGAATTTGGTGATTACCCAACTTCATCTTTTACTTAAAGTAAAAGAATTAATACAAATAAGTATAATGCAATTTCTTAATTAATTACAAGTTTTTATTAAGTTTTAACCAATTTTAGCTAAGACTTGTAAATATTCTTATGAGTTAACTTTTTCTTAGTAAGACAAAGAAAAATTTCATCAGTAAGTTCTTTATCTTGGATTTTTAATATTAATTTTACTAAAGACCATTTTTTTAATGTTACTAAAATGATTATTAGATTAAGTTTTGTTTTCTCAAATCAATTATATTTTAATCATTTAATTTTAACTTAAAGTTATTATTTATACATGAAAAATATAAATACAGTCAACTCATTCTAAATGCATCCCCTTGGGATCATAGTGAAAATTTTAAAAAGTGTGCATTTAAAGAGGGTGTGCATTTAAAAAAAAAATTTTTTATATAATTTCTATATACTTAGCATTGAATGAATACATACATTTAGAAAAAAAATATATAGTATATTCAAAGAGAGTTAATTATAAATAATAAAACTTTTGTTTATTAAAATTAATTGCTTAATTTATTAAGAAATTTATACATTTTATAATTCTTTATTTTTTAATATTAATTTCATATATTTTATAAAAATACAATTAAATCAATTATTTCTAAGGAAATAAGTCTCTTAATTAATAAAATATTATCATACTTTACTATTATACTATTATTCTATGATTTTTTTCTATTATTATTATTATTATAATCTTTAATACTAATATTAATTCTATTATATTCTAATAAATAATAATAAAAAAAAGTTAAATTAATATCAATATCTTAATATTAGAAAAATTAAACTATATTTTTTTATAAGATTTCAGTTATTAATAAGTGATTTTTAATAAATTATAATTTTAGTTTTTTTTTTAAATAATAATAATTCTAAAGAAAATTATTGATATTTTAAAAATTATTATTATAATAATTACTGATAATTCTAATGAAAATTATTGATATTTTAAAAATTATTATTATAATAATTACTTAAACTTTTAAATTTTTTTTCTTATATATATTATTTATATATTTTAAAAATTATTTTTATTTAATTTTTTGATTCTGCTATTTATCACTACTAATAATAAATTATTATTTATTACTATATAATTCTAGTAATAAATAACTATTTATTACCAGATAACTTGTTTTATTAGTTCATTAAATTTTTTAAATTTTACAATTAACTTTTTAAATGTATATATTGATAAATTCTATGAGAAATATCATTGCAATTACCATAAGAATAAGGATAACTATATGAATTATTATCAGAAGTTTCTTTATAATTTTAATATTACTTTCGTAACTTTTTATTTTGATTATTTTCCTTTAATATCTTAACAGCTGATTTAATTCTTACATATTTAGAAAGTTTACCTTTAATATGATTATTAATAAATGAATTATTGACTTGAATTAGAAGTTTGGATTTAGAATTCATGTTTTCTTTTTCAGTTAATATAGTATTGTTAACGTGCAATTCTTGCGAATTACGACAGTTAGACGGGGTGTTCGAGTGGTGAATCTTTTAAAGTTTACG